TCAACTCTCTTACAAAATTTAGCAAAGATTGTATGAACCTCATTCTTGTGTGTAAGGAAAAATACCCAAGTGAATCTAGAGAAGTCATCCACAATGACAAATGCATAGAGTTTTTCACCAAGACTAGCAATTCTCTCCGGACCGAATAAGTCCATGTGAATTAATTCAAGTGGTCTTGAAGTCGTTATATCATTTTTCCTTTTAAATGATGACTTGATTTGCTTGCCTATTTGGCATGCGCTACATGTTTTATCTTTAGAAAAATTAGTCTTTGGGAGGCCTTTGACCAATTCATTCTTAGATAGTTTTGAAATCAAATCCATACTAGCATGACCCAACCTTCTATGTCACAACCAACTATTTTCATTTGAGGATACAAGACATTTGACATCTTGATTATGTAATTCACATAAAAGCAAAGTATATACATTACCATTTCTTAGAGCATGGAAAACTTCTACATTATCCTTTTTGACAATGCACTTGTCCGATTTAAACAAAACATCATATCCTTTATCACATAATTGGCTAATACTAAACAGATTATGTTTTAAGCCTTTAACAAGTAACACATCATCAATAGATAAGGAGGAGGAGATACCAATAGTTCTAATGTCAATGACCTTGCCTTTTGAGTTGTCGCCGAATGTGACGTTTCCTCCTTTATGAGGTTTGATGGAGCGAAATTTTGATTGATCTCCCGTCATATGCCTTGAGCATCCGCTATCAAGGAACCATTTGTCCTTGGATGAATATGGAGACTTCAAGCAAACCTACAAAAGGAATTTGAATAATCTTCTTTTGGTACCCACATTCTCTTGGGTCCATGAGAGTTAGGAAGAGGTGTATAAGTCCCTTTAATAACCCAAACTTCTTTTGTCCTACATGGTCTAATAGGACAATGATTGATCTTATGTCCTGTTTTTTTACAATAGTTACATATTGGACTAAAAGAGGAATTTTTAACAAAGTAATTGTTCAAAGGTATTCTCTTTTTCAATAAACAAGAATCTTTGTTGTGAGGATCAAATCCAAGTCCATCCTTGGCATAAGCATTTCTTTGCTTTCCAAGTATGAGACCCAAATTCTCTCTACCTTTTGTGAATTTAGCTAAAGTCTCAATTTGATCTTCAATTATAACTTTCAATGATTTCTTTTCAGAAATTAAATCAATTGAAACCGATTCTTTAGCTAATTCTTTTTCCTTTTTCAAAGCTTCATTTTCAAGTTGAGATTTTTCAAGGTTTTGAGAGATGATATTCTTTTCCCTTTTGAGAGTAGCACATTTTTGAACCATTTTGCCTAATTCATCATGCAATTCTCTAAAAGCATCTAGCAAATAGTTGTGTGCATCAACCAATTCATCATAAGTAGTTTCCAAATCAAATGAGTTATGATTAGAATTTACCTCATCTTCATCGGCCATGAGACAAAGATTAACCAATTCATTGAGTTCATCGTCACTTTCGGATCCATTTGAATCATCATCCTCCCATGTAGCTTGCATGACTTTGCCTTTCTTTTTCCTTTCCTTTTCATTTTTGTAGGTATAGCAATCGGACTTGAAGTGTCCCGGTTTTCCACAATGGAAGCAAGTAGGTGCTTCTCTTTTTCCTTGCTCACTAGACGACCCATTTCTTTTGAAGTGGTTGCTCTTTTGGAACTTCTTCATTTGAAGAATTCTTCTTACGGTTTTGGTAATGAGAGCAACTTCTTCTTCTTCTTCATCATGAGGAACTTTATCAATTGTAACTTCTTTGGTAGTAGCTTGTAGAGCTATATCCTTCTTTTGAGTTTATTCATCTCTATCATTCATTTCTAGCTCGTAAGCCATTAATGAACCAATGAGTTCGTCAATGGGAAGTGTGTTAAGATCTTTGGCTTCTTGGATGGCGGTCTTCTTAGCTTCCCAATTCTTTGGCAAAGATCTAAGGATTTTTCTTACATTATCAGATGATGTATATTTTCTTCCAAGAGCTTTCAAGGGATTAACAATGTTAGTAAAACGAGAGTACATTTCACTAATAGTTTCTTTGTTATTCATGGTAAAAAGTTCATATTTATGGACAAGCATATTCATTTTGGATTCTTTAACATGACTAGTGCCTATATAGGTGACTACAAGTTTATCCCAAATTTCTTTGGCCGTTTCACAATCCGAAATTCTATTGAATTCGTCTTTGCTTAAGGCACAATAGAGATTAGTGATAGCCTTGACATTACATTGTACAAGCCTATGGTCATTGAGGGTCCATTCAATATCGGGTGTTCGAACATTTTCACCTTCTACTATCTTGGTTGGAACATGGTCTCCTTTTTCTATGGCTTTCCAAACATCTACATCTATGCCTCTTAAGAATGCTCTCATTTTGATTTTCCAATAGTTGTAGTCACTTCCATCAAACCAAGGGGGTCTATTGTTAGATTGACCTTCTTGATGACAATTTGTATTGGCCATGATCGTTCTCTAAGATAATTAGTCTTTTTCTAGAGATTAGGCTCTGATACCAATTGTTAGTCACTAATTGACTCTAGAGGGGGGGTGAATAGAGTTAATGATCAATTTTTCAATTTAAAAATTGTATTTCTACCAAACTGTTAAATATCAGTTTATTGAAATATTCAAGCAAAATAAAGCACAAAAATAAGAGAGATAGAGATAAGAGATTGCAAACAATGACTCGGTGATTTAGCGAGGTTCGGAAACTCCTACTCCTCGGCTCAAGATCCCCCTTGAGACTTCCCAAATTCACTAGTGCTTCTCCTTAATGGTGGAGAGCAAACCTTCACTTTTGAAACAAGATCTTGCTTCTCTTCTTTGCTAGGAGAACACCCTTCTCCTAGGCTTTCTTTTGGGTTACACCAACCCTTTACAATAGCTTTGAAATTTGAAGAAACAAGTGTACAAGAATCTCTCAAAGATAGATTACAGAGTTTAGCTCACAACTATAGAAAAGATGAATATACGTGAAGCTCAGAATTACTACAGTGATATGAAATAACAGAGAGGGAATGAAAGCTCAGAATACTTCTTTAATGCTTTTTAAGGAATGATAGAATGTTCTCTGTAAAAGTATTTTTCAGTTTGAAGACCAACCTCAGTATTTATAGAATCAACAGAGTTCAATATAGCTGTTAGAGGTTGTTGAGAACATTTAATGAAAATGTTTACGTTACAGTTCAAAACCCTAAAGAGAGCCGTCTCTTGAAAACCAAAGAGCCTGGTCTTTGTTCATTTTCCTTGGAAAGAGCCTGCTCAATAAAAACGTGAGCCTGTTCTTTATTTTGAAGATCCATTTTCGTAGCTTTCTTGGAACAAGAAGAGCCCTCTCTTTCTTTTGATTGAGCCCTCTCTTTTTCTTAAATACTTCTCAAAGACTTACTGGAGTTAAAGAAAAGAACCTTCTCAGAGCTCACTGAATAAGAGAAAAAAGCCTTCTCTTTATTTTATGGAGTCTTCTCCATCTCACATTATGATACTTAATATGAAATTCTTTAAGTCCTGTGAATGTGATCATGAGCTGATTTTATTTTCTTTGAGAAATAAAATGGGAATGCAATGCATGGATTGAATTTTGAGCTTCAAATATATTTAAATTAACTTTAACATTAAATCTTAAGCTCTCACCATCTAATCTACCATTTTCTTCAATCTTTGACCATGATCGGTTAGCCTTTGATGGAGTAGTTGAATAATCTTTGAATTCTTGCAACTTCAATGCTTCCTTGAATCCATTGCTTGAGTACTTGGAATGCTTCTGGCTCATTATTGAGGATTGAATTAATTGATCAACTATATAGCACTCAAGGAAAATATTAGTACATAAACATCATTAATGGTTTGTAATCATCAAAATATAAGATTGACCTTTAGATTAAATCCTTAGGCCAACATCACCGATTGACCCATAATATTTAATTTAAAGACCATAATACCTTTATAACACATGAAAATACTATATTACCCCTTATTTTGACATCTAAACATAAACACACCCTCTTCCTACACCTAAACACGCACTTATCCCTCTCTATACACGCACAAATATATATCAATGAAACCCAAATTCCTTGTCGGAATCCATATCATAAGTAAAGATGACTATTAGATTTTGATTCCCACGAATTTTTCTTCGTTTCAGATCGGTGGTTTCAGTCTGGCGTCTGGTGTGCAAATCAAAATTGATGGTATGAGAACGACGATACCAAAACCGTGCCGGTGGCAAAAATCCCAATGATGGCTTCCAACACTTTGCCACCTCCTACCATCGTCATCTTCTTCTTTAATAATTCCACCGAAGCTTAATTTCAGCTTCAACACAATTGGCTCATTTCAAAAGAAGAACCAAGAAGCGGACACGATCAAGAAATTAATTATCGATATTGACGTATGGGTTGTTAGTGATTTTGTTTACCTGATGGTGTGAATTGTAACAAAATAATAGTTCATGAGTTTTTTTGTAATTCAGGGGGATTTCAAGGAGGTTTTTTTGCATTTAACCTTACTTTTTTTTTTTTATATATTTATTTAATTTAATAAAAAAATTTGTCAAATCAAAAGACCTCTATCACACTTTCTTTTCTTTTTTTTTTTTTTTTTTTTTTTTTTTTTTTTTTTTTTTTTCTTTTATTAGAAATTTAATCAAACCTAAAAAAAATAAACTTAATCAAATCAAATGTCATCAATAAAAAAAAAAAGAAAAAGATTTTGCACAAATTAATAATATATGAAATTATTATGAAAATTAATAATTTATATTTTAATTATATTTTATGATATTCTTGTCATTTCATATCAAAATATAAAATTATTGAAGTTTTGTAACATAAAGAAATAACAACTCAACGGAGTGATTTTTTAATTTCATTAGTGACACTAGGAGAGGTTAAAATAATAATTTCAGGATAAATTAAAATAATAAAGGGTACCCAAATCTCACAGGAAATTAGTGTAATTTACCAAAATTTAAATAGCGACACAACACTCGCTAGGTTTTTATGATTTTATCGACTTCTACTACTTTCCAACACTTCGCCATGTACGACCCAGAAGTACGAACATTCACCGGAAACAGCTCAGAAGTACGAACAGTGAAACAAAACAATACTATGTCGGAACGCCACTCGCAAGCTACGTTGCGTCATCACGCCGTCCCTGTAAAATCCGAACTGGAGCACTCCATCAACGAGAGCTCCAAGAGGCCACACTCACAGCCTCCCAGACCCAGCAGAGTCGTCGTCTTGGCTGACCTCAACGTTGACCCTCCTGAATCCGACGTCCATGGTTCCGTCCCCGTCTCCGACCCCGATCTCACCAGGTCCTCACCCTCTTCCTCCTCTTATCCAATCTTTCTTTCCCCATTTGTATTCTTTGCCATTTTGTTATGTTGTTTTTGTTATTTTAGGGTTCGAAATGGTACCCAATTTGTCCCATTACCCTCCGTTTGGTTGCTGAGAAAATGGAAATTAAATATTGATTATTTTGGTTGTCCGTTGTATGATTTCTCAGGGAAAAAAAGTGTTCAGTTGACTATTTTTTTTTCCCAGTTCTCTAAGAGAGTACAATTCCTATATTTTCTCAGCCAACAACAATAGAGAATTTTTGGATTGCATTTAATTAAAAGGTACTAGTCACTAGTCAGAGTGCTAAATTATAGATGGTTAGCGTTCATCTCAAATTTTCATTGAATATTATTGTTATGCCTCTGAAGTACTAACAGAGTGTGTGTATATATATCTATAATTTACATATATACAAAGTTTTAAAATGTATATCTATGCCCCAAAAGAGGGACTAAAATCCTCCCCTGCGCAACAGTAAACCGGTCCCCTCAAGTTAGTGATGCACCTTAGGAAAATGTTGTGATGTTAGGCTTGCATCCCAACACTTTCCTAACATGTATTACTAACTGGAGGGGACTGGTTTACTGTGCGCAGGAGAGGATTTTGATCCCCAAAAGAGACCGTAACAACTCACACATAGTTCAATCATACCTTTTTTTTTTTTTTTTAAAAAAAAAAAAAAATGCAAATTGATTGACATGATCCTTATGGCAGAGATCCTATTGTTAAATTATCTTGGGTGTTTGGTATCCAGGATTCACAGGCTTCTGTCTTACCACTAGATGACTGTGTGTTATATATCCATAGCATGGGTGTTTGGTATCCAGGATTCACAGGCTTCTGTCTTACCACTAGATGACCGCGTGTTATATATCCATAGCATGTCTCGATTCTTAAATTAGTATAGTTGCGCACACACTTCCACAAACATAATTAGAGGGGAAAAAGTTTATCAGTAACTTACCAATGTAATAACTAAAACCAGTTCATCTTACGTCTATTGCCATAGTTTATTGTTAACTTTTAAAGGAAAAATTAAAACCAGTTCACATGAATTCTGTTACCATAGTTTATTGTTAACTCTTAGAGTAGAAATTAAAACCAGTTCACATGAAGTCTGTTTCTTGAGGTTTTACCACTTTTATCTTGTGTCAGTCACCTTAATGTTTTATTGTGACAAGTTGAACCAAAGATTGATATGTTATGTAGGTTGACTAACGATGAAAGTAGTCAAGATAAGAGCAGCTTAATGAGCAAAGACACTGATACTGCCGAAGGAGAAGGTAAACAATTAAAAAAATTGGGGAAATGCCGTTCAAGAATTAGTAAGGTAGAGTACCCTGTTGATTGTGGAGGTGATGCAGATGGCGATCAGCATGGTCAAGGGATCCCCTCATCTCGCGAGGAAAAAGTTAGCAGCCTCAAGACTGTGAGTTTCCTTGTTGCTAGTTTGGGTATTTTACATACATGGTTACATTCTCACAGACACTGACACATATATGTTCGTGCTTTACCTTTGCAATCTTGAATTTTGACCCTTGAGAGAGTTTTGACCTGTTTATTAAATATGGATATGTTGACTGTTGACATAGTTTATTACCTATCTTATTAGATTATTACCACAGGAATTTTCTTAGAGAGGTCTTCTTTTAGAAAAAAAATTCTTGTAAGTCATTTGTTTCCTTACCTGAAGTTATGATATTGATAGGAATTGCAAAGACACACTTATTCATGCTTGTGTGTCATATTTTGTCCCCAAAATTGTATATCATTAAATGAGAATCTTTTAGAATAAGCATGTATATGTGCACGAACTTGCTTGCAGAAGTGAAAGTTGATTGGCACATTTAATATACTATTAATTATTACTGTTTCTTTTTCCTTTTTATTTGATAAGTGCTACTTTCCCTTCCTTCCAATTTCAGCTTTGAATTTTCTGGATTTTTTTAGGCAAGGATAACTTCATTAAGTTTTAGAAAGATAAAATAGGATGCCTGAACACCGCTAGACACAATATGACTAAAAAAAAAAAAAAAAAAAAAAAACATCACAAGGCTTATACAAAAACAATATACACAATCCTCATACAGACCCTCAGTTACAATAACAGACCAGTCTACCAGCTAATAAATTTTAATCAACCCTAAATTCATTTCCAGAGTGCAAGAGAAACCCCAATTTTTACAGTTTCAGGCAGAACATGGGTCTTGAACATTATTAGTTCAGCTAACTTCCCTCTCACATTATTACTTGTTAAATCAATCAAATTGCATTTATGTGGTTGTTGATACACATTGTTAAACACAATGATACATTTCCAGCAAAATATAGTAACCCAGGGCCGGAGTGGCTGCTTCCCTGACTTTTTGTTTTGAAAATCTTCAGCTTAGTGCTAGCTCCCACACTACGCATGAAATCAAACCAAAATTATTCTTTCCAGAACCCGGTACTAGAAAGCTTGTGTAAAATTACAACCACATAAATAATTGGTGGGATCCTACTTCTTGCCTAAAAAACACAGACATCACTCCTTATGATTCCTTTGGCTAACATTCTATCCGCTGTGGAATGTATTTTGTTATGGAAAAGCCAAAAGATGAAACTTGTATAATGATAGATTTTACTGAATCACAACAGGAAATGATCCTATGGCATAGCAGGCAGAGGAGTACACCAAGCACTGCAATGACCTCCAATTGGGAATCACCTTTTCTGAAAGAATGTAAAAAGAAAAAAAAAAAAAAAAAATGGACCTAAAAAATTGTATCTTTCTCAGAGCCAGGAATATCAGAATTAGGAATATCTCCAAATCTAATAATGCTGCAGAAATTTCAGACAAGACTGCTGCACTGATTAGGTGAACAGTACTACTCATAATTGCATACCCCCTATGGCCCCTACCCCACAGGGCCACATCAAATACAATTTGCTTTATCACTTCTCGGGAGTTCTCAAAGAGCATGCACAATGTTTCAAATTGGAATTTCCCAGAATCTTTGATCTTTTACCCAATGTGTTAAAACCCGGTCAGCCCATGGAGCCCTTCTAGAAAGTTATGGCCTGAATATGTTGCATCATTGAATCTTTGTTCCAGTCCAACATCTGAGTTAATTCCAGACAATTCCACCCACCAAGTGGGGGGTTGGTGATATGGAGTGAAGCTCAGGTCACTGTTGCTTTGGTTGTCTTCAAAACAACCCTGGAGAAAGAATGACAGATTTTTTCAATATTGTTCAAAACCTTCTTTGGAGCATTAAAACAGTACACCAATGTGATGGAATACTAAATAAGACGGACCTTATGAGCAGAAGTCTCCTGGCAAAATATAGAGATTCAATGATCCATGGCCGAATAGCTATAATAAGTCCACAAGAGCAATGCAACCATTTTTACCGGGTTTTTAGTGATTAAAGGGACACACTCAAGTACTTAATAGGTAACTGTCCTTCTTTGAGTTCCAGCAGAACAAGAATTTTTCCCTTTGTTTCCAGCACCACGGCAGCAAAGAAAAAGGGAACACTTATCATTTTTCTTTTGAAGGCATGTATTATTCTCAAGTTCAGTTAAAATTCCGTGCATCATACTAACAAACACCAAATCTCCATATCAAAAGATGAAAAAAATCATCTTCAAAGTAGATGGGGCCTATCAAACATCTGAAGTGATATTTGTTCTCTTGATTTGTCTAAATCAAAAGCAGTCATGCTAATTTTTTGTAATATCACTAACAAATAGGAGAACATAGGATTCTCTTGATGCGGTTCCCTTGTCCCTTTGAAATAATCAGTAAGTCAACCATTTAGTGCCACAAAATTTAGGAGAAGTTAGCGGTATGAACCCAAGCACCATAAGGAGACGAAAGGCCACAAGTTTAGTAATTTGAAAAGTGCTGTGCCTTTTTTCTTTTTTCTCTTTTAGAAAAAGAAAAAAAAACTGTAATAGAATTGTATGTTTGTATCACACATTGCTAAGCCAGCTTCTGTATAATATATGGCATAACCAGCTCTGTGCATGCTCTCAGGGTTTGGTACATGTTGCAAGGAAGATGCCCAAAAATGCTCACGCTCATTTTATACTTGGGTTAATGTATCAAAGGATGGGTCAACCACAAAAGGTAGCTATTCAACCTTGCTTTGCTCCTTCTGCTATTATGCATGCTTCGATTTCACTCCTCTCCTGGGTATATATGTTAGGCAGTTTCAGCATATGAGAAGGCAGCAGAGATCTTACTTCGCTGCGAAGAAGAGATAGATAGGCCAGAGTTGCTTTCATTGGTCCAGATTCACCATGCACAGGTGATCTATTTTTTTCTTTTTCCCTTTTTTTCTTTTTAAATATATATATATATATATATATATATATATATATATATAGTTATGCATTTTACGGAAGTAGTTTTCTTCTTTTATTCAATGCAATGGAGTGAATGATCGTAATGGTGGCCAATCTGATTAGATGTTTTTACCACCTCTTAGTGCCTTCTGCTTGGAAGCTTAGGAGACTATAGTTCAGAGTCTTCAGACAAAGAGTTTGAACGTAAAGATCTTGAGGAAATTATTTTTAAGTTGAAGGAGTCAGTGAAGTCAGATATTAGACAGGCATCTGTTTGGAACATTCTAGGCATGACACTTCTTAAAGCTGGTCGTTTGCAGGTAAAATCACCTTATTCTCTGTTTGTTAACAAGTGAATTTTTATTTCTTTCATGATCTAATATCGCCTATGTGATCTTATCTAGAATGCTATATCGGTTTTGTCGTCTTTATTGACTATGGTCCCTGACAACTTGGATTGCATTGGAAGCCTTGGGGTTGCTTACCTTCAAAGGTAAGAAGGTGTCATGTTATGCCTTTTATGCCATGTAGTCATCCGCTTTTAGGTGCTGTCTTTTGATGTCATTGTAGCTACCAACAAGTGTGGAGAGAGAGAAGTAATAAATGCAACATAGAAGCAGGAAGCAAAGATTCATCTAGAATTTTTGGAAATAATAACATTATATACATATAGAAGTGATTATAAAATTGGTAACAAAATGAAAGCTGAAGTTGTAAAATAGAAATATTCTATAAGGGGTTTCAAGAAACACTTGGCTGGTTTTGATGTTTAGTTCTGTCTGTATTGATGCTCAACATATGACGAACTAATGGGAAGTGAAATACACCAATTTTAGTTACCTCTTAAATATATTGCTTAAGGTAAAGCATTTGCTAGTAGGGTGATGGGTAAAAGGATCATAACAAACATTAGTTGTTTAGCTAGACTAGCATCTGCTGCCACCTCCTAAGGTGCAGGGTTTGAGTTGCAGACTTGCAGATGGAACCTGGGGTGTTTGTTGTACTTATTTAAAACAACAATGAAAGCAATATTACGTAAGATTATGCACGTCCTCTGTTATAGAGGGAAAATCACAACCAAGAACTTAAGGTTATTCAGTATATGTCTACATTTGTAGGCCATCAAAGAAGAGTTAAACTCAATATTGGAACTTGGAGATCACATCTTTCATGGATTTAACCATTGATGAGATAACCCTGTGAGAGCCACCAATTTTCTCTCACAACTCAATCAAAATCTCAAACCCATTATTATATAATTGTACCATGAGCTGTTGCTTTCCAGCATTCTGCCTTCACTTTTATGACAGCATCCGAACCATAGGGCATCGGGAAAATTGATAAAAAGTAGGTAGGAAGATTCAAAAGAGTGCTTTTCATAAGAGTAAGCCTCCCCCCTTTTGACAAGTACTGTTTCTTCCACCCCACATGCCTCCCCTCAAATCTATCTACAACTGGGTCCAATACTGAAATCCTCCTTGATGAAGAACCCAAGGGGAGTCCCAAATATGAGATCGGGAAAGAACTAACACCGCATCCCAGAATATCAGCCAACTCATTAATCTCCTCCACCCCCCAACAGCAACCAACTCGCTCTTCCCAATATTGATCTTCCATCCGGAAACAACTTGAAAACAAGCCAACACACATCTCAAGTGTCTCAGCTCATCACAAAAAAACAATTGTGTCATCCGCGAACAAGAAGTGAGAGATTGTCAACTGATTGGGGGCCCTACCCACTGAGAATCCTTGGATAAAACCAAGCTCTTCCGCCCTCCCCATCAATCTACTAAAAGCCTCCATAACAATGATGAACAGAAAGGGAGAAAGCAAATCTCCCTGGCCTAATCCACGAGAGCTAGTGAAAAACCGTGCTAGTGATCCATTCATTGACAGAAAAGCAAGCAGACGATCTGCAGTGAAATAGCCATGTCTGCCATCTGTGACCAAATCCCATCCTCTGCAACATATACATCAAAAAATTTCAGCAAACATGGTCATAGGCCTTCTCGACATCCAACTTGCATACAACCCCCGGAACGCCGTTTCTGGCCCTAGCGTTAATGCATTCGCTAGCAATCAAAACTGAATCCAGAATCTGTCTCCCCCCAACGAACGCATTTTGTGACTCTGAGAGCACCCCATTCAAGACTCTCCTCAACTGTGCTAAGAGTTAATGGGATTAATTTATAGTCAAGTGGTGGAGGGGGAAGGAAGGGATGGGATGGTATGGATGGGGGGATCTGGAGGGGTGTTTGAGGTGAGGTTGTTTTACCAAAGCCTTACGGATTCGATAAGCAATGTTTTCCCTTGGAAGGCTGTGCGGAGGACTTCAGCTCCACTGAAGGTGGCTTTTTTCACCTGGACAGTGGTGCTTGGCAGCATTCTTACTCTCGATAATCTTAGAAGAAGACGCCAAATAATAGTGAATTGGTGTTGCATGTGTAAGAAGACGGGTGAATCGGTTAACCATCTTCTATTGCACTGCAAAGTGGCAGCGGATGTTTGGAGTATGGTCCTGAATGTTTTTGGGGTTGAGTGGGTGCTGTCAAGAACCACGATGGATATGTTAGAGGCTTGGAGAGGGAGACAGTGGGCAGGCGGGTTAGAAAAGCGTGGAGGGTAGCCCCTCTTTGTGTATGGCGGGAGTTGTGGCACGAGCAAAACAGGAGATCTTTCGATGGAAAGGAGTCGCCGGTGTGGGTTATTAAGTCGAATATTTTGCATTCTCTTTATTTTTGGGTTATTGGGAAAAATTGTTCATCTTTGGACAGTTTTTTGGATTTTGTTGACAACTTATCGTTGTAGTGGCGCTTTTTGCGTTTTTTGTTTGCCTTGTTAAGGGTTTGCTACCCTTTGAGCGCCTTTGTTAATATACATTTACTTATAAAAAAATATAAAAAAAACTGTGCTTAGACTTTTGCAAAAATTTTGTAGACTGCACCCACTAAACTGATTGGTCTGAAATCCTTGGCCTCCAAAGCACCTCCTTTTTTAGGAATAAGGGTAATAAATGATGTGTTGAGTCTCTTCTCAAACGACCCATTAGAATAGAAAAATCCAATGGCTGCCATCACTTCCTTCTTCACCACCTCCCAATTATGGTAAAGGAAATCAAGAGCGAAGCCATCTGGTCCTGGCGCTTTATTCCCATCACAGCTCCTCAAGGCCTCCAACACCTCCTCCTCCCCAAACGGCCTCTCAAGCAAATCTCTGTCTCCACCTGAAATTTCCGCAAATCCTAGCCCATCCATCGAAGGTCTCCAAGAAGTGGTCTTTGTGAAGAGCTGGTCATAAAATGACACAAACCCATTCCAGATTTCCTCTTCCCTGGTAACCATATTGCCATAAAAACGAATTCTCCCAATGTGATTGCCTCTTTTGTGAGCATTAGCCAAGCGATGAAAAAACTTCGTATTCCGATCCCCATCTTTAAGCCAAAGAGCCCTAGACTTTTGTCTCCAAGAAACTTCCCCCATCGCCACAATTTCTTCAAATTCGGTCATACACTCTTCCCTCCTACATACCACCCTTTCAGTGAGTCCCAGCTCTCCCTCCTGTCCAACTCTGAAATCTCAAGGAGTCGTCTGTTCTTTCGCCATTCAAGATTTCCAAACACATCCCTATTCTAGATCTTTGATATCTTCCTTCAAGAGCTTAATTTTTGTTGCAAGTTGGAAACTCGGGCTGCTCTAACCTCATACCCAGTCCGCCAAGCCCGTACCCTATCTTTAAAATCCTCAACTCTATGCCACACATTTTCAAACCGAAACGGGGTTCTCCCACTCCTCACTCCTCCACAATCAAGCATAATAGGGATATGATTTGAGACCGCAGGAGCCAACGCCACTTGTGACACATCAGGGAACTTCTCCTCCAAATCCCCAGAGATCATAAATCTGTCCAACCTTGATAACGTAGGGGACTCCCGTCCCCTAGACCAAGTGAACTGTCCTCCCTCCATTGGAAGGTCGAGAAGAAGACGAGAGTCAATGAATTCTGTAAATTCTGTCATTGCTGGGTCTAGTTGCCCCCGGTAGATCTCTAACTAGGCATCCGGACAACATTAAAATCCCCCACCCCCCACTAGGAATATATATTTTTTGGGCTGGGCTAAAATTAGGTATGGTAAATTTTTCTTTTTTTTTGTTGGGGTGGGCTTGAGTGGCTCAAGCCCACCCCTGGATCTGCCAGTGTTCTAACCGCTCCCAGCTCCACCCACAACTCTCTCCTCTCCACATCCCCTCTTGACCCATACACTCTGGAAAACATCCATTGTGAGCCATCTTCCTCCAGCGTGAACAAAAGGGAAACGGAGACCCTCCCTTTCCACACATCAACCTTAGACACCCACCTTTTGTCCCATAGATTCACAATGCCCCCCGCTGTCCCCTCCGTATCATTCACCTCCCAATCCACAAAACTACCACCCCACAAACTTTTCATAACTCTAGCGATAGAGTTGGCTAATTTAGATTCTTGCAAATACACCATATTCACGCCCCATTTTCAAATTAAAGCCTTCACCACCTCCCTTTTGTTCGGGTCGTTGAGGCCCAGAACATTCCAAGACACTACTTTGAGCTTCATAGACACAATTTATCCCCCCTCCCCCCTCCTGCCCCCATTTCCCTTCTCACTGCCTTCTCCAATCCTCCCTTCATAATTCACATTAGGGCATTGAAAAATCAAATGAGATTTTCTCTTGGCTTGCCATTTCTTTTTTTGGCGTGTTATTGAGGTCAAGGGTGGAGGCAGGTTAAGGAAGCTCTTTACATATGACATCTTCAGGATCCCTTAAGGATAAGGAGACACTGGTCAAATCACACATGATTAACTGGATTATGGAAATCCTTTCCTAAGTGGCTCTGCAATAGCAAAAAGTATTTGAAGATAATAACTTTCTGTATTTTATGTGAAGGTAAGCTCACAAAGTATGGTGCAGTTCCTTAAGGGAGAGTAATAGGGAATTTCAGCATATGGTTCAGTAGATTTTGGGGGGGATTGGCTTTTTAAAATTGGAATATCACATCTCCAGCAGAAGTGTTTTTTCACCACATCCTTTTATTTATCATCATCACATGCAAATTGATGTTTCATGAGTAGCTTTAGTTATTTTTTTCCTGCATATTCTTTTAGTTGTATATTTAATTGGAATTCCAATTTCATTTGGGGGATCATAACTCATAACTAGATTTAAAAAAAAAAAAAAAAAAAAGTTTTAATAAAACATTGATCCACCAATATCTTTTGCCTTTTGATGTATCATGTATGCATTAGATGTTATTCATCTAGGTACAATTTAGAGAATTTATTTCCTTCTTGATGATATTTCAGCAGTCTTGTACTACAAATTTATTCATTAATTTTGTTTTTCAAGATATTTTATTTTTGTTAAAATTTCGTATTGCCCCTGGGAGGAATTTAAATTGATTTCCTTAGGTGTTTTCTTGTAGAAAAGGTTCTTTTACGGCCTTTGCTATTGATATTACTCTGCTATTTGGTACTATTACTAACAAATTTATTGTCCAGTGGGAATTTGGAGCTTTCTGCAAAATGTTTCCAGGATCTGCTTTTAAAAGATCAAAACCATCCTGCCTCTTTGATCAACTATGCTGCCCTTCTTTTGTGTAAATATGGTTCAGTTGTTGCAGGTATGATTTTGATTATTCTGACTCCATGTGTCGTGACCTAATTTTATTGACTTGCTAATGGAGCTTGATCTAGAGACTGTATCTTCGTGGAATGCAATTTTGTCTTTTGATTGATTTGAGATGTTTAAAGAAATATTGATCGGTCTGGCTACTTCTATTAAATTCTTAGGTGCTGGGGCAAATTCTGGTGAAGGGGCTTTTGCGGATCAGGTTACAGCCACCAATGCTGCAAAGGAGTGTTTGTTAGCGGCAGTCAAAGCAGATCCAAAAGCAGCACATTTATGGGCAAATCTTGCTAATGCATATTATATTATTGGTGATCATAGAAGTTCTGGCAAGTGCTTGGAGAAGGTGCTTGTGGCTTATTTTTAAAATCTTGTGTAACTTACTTTCTAAGATTATTCATTGGATTTCTTGTCATTTTTTTATGGAAAAGTTTTCTTCTTGGGTTTGCCAGCAAACTAAATTCCTAATCAAATATTAGTTTCTTTGCGTCAATGTGTATGTATTCTATTATAAGGGCAGTCAGAAATTTTTTTAGTGGCATTTGTCTGTTTGCATGTGAATTATATTTCTCATTCCTTCTAACATGTGCTCTAACAAGCTTAAATAGTTCTCTTTCATGAACAGGCAGCAAAACTCGAGCCCAATTGCTTGGCTACGCGATATGCTGTTGCAGTCCACCGAATTAGGGATGCTGAAAGATCTCAAAATCCTTGTGAACAGCTTTCCTGGGCTGGAAATGAAATGGCTTCAATACTAAGGGAAGGAGATTCTCTTCTAATCGAGCCTCCAGTAGCATGTGCAGGTCTTGCCTTGGTTCATAAGGCCCAACATGAGATTGCAGCAGGGTTTGAAATTGAACAGAATGAACTGATGGAGGTTGAAGAGCGTGCCATCTTCAGTTTGAAGCAGGTAGTCCTTTTGTTTCTGTTTTTTCTTAGAATTTGATGTAAAGTTTTTCATCAGAACTACTTGAGCTTTAGTTTGAGAATCTTGCATGAAAGCTTGGTAGCATATTGAAATAATCTTGAAGCTAAAATTCCATCTTTGTAGTTCTTTATGACTGTTTTGATGCAGTTGCTCTAGTCTTTTAGGTTAATCTATGATATAGGGAAAAACTAGCACATGGGTGCTCTCTTTTAATATTCACAGGCTAATATTTTAGGTTGAATTTATCTGATATAGGGAAAAGCTAATACACGGATGCTCTCTTTTAGTATCTCCAATTTGAAGTCTAAAATGTACTTTTGTGTGGCTACATGTGCTATTCAAATTGGAGGCGGCTCGCTGGGTCCATGTAGAGTCGGTAAAACTTTGACCCAAGCTTTTTGAGTGCATGTAAGATAGTTGTACGACTGATATATGGATTAAAAGGTTAGCTTGTTGATAGTGTGATAGATTCCCTAATGGTCGTACTTCAATCTGGCTGCTTGTGCTATTCAAATTGGAGGCATCTAGCTGGGTCCATGTGGAGCAAATAAAACTTTCATTTAAGCATGTCTTTTTTTGTTTGGTACCTAAATCACGTGCGCCCCCACACACCCACCCACCCACCCACCCACTTGTCCTGTTGGGGACTTGAACCCTTAATCGTCTATTTGGAAGGAGATACCACTTGCGCTAAAATCCTGGTGGTTCATGTTTCTATTTCACATAGCAATTGAAGTTAAAATTTTCCAAACTTGGTCCTCCTATGGGTCTCAGTATGCAGTTGAGTGCTTGTAAGAAAGTTGTACTGGTATATGGATTAAGGGGAGAGCTTGTTGATTGTGTAAGAAATGCCCTCATGGTAGTCGCCTTCCGCTATTATAAATACAATTTTGTCATGAAACCAAGAATTCTACTACTGTAGCCGACCCTGCTCTTGCACCCTTCCTCTTTGCCCCAGCCCGTACTCTGCTCTTGCAGCGCCGAGCTATCCTAGCTTATTTTTCTGTCCTCCATTCTGTTTGTTGGTGTGGCCAAAAAGTAGACTGCTGCCTACCCTCCAAAAAAAAAAAAAGAAAAGAAAATACACACCCACCCACCAACACACTGCCATCCACACCAAAAAAAAAAAAAAAAAAATTAATAAAATAAAAAATAAAAAAAGACGAGGAGGAGGAGGAGATGGTCTTTGCCACTTAAGTTGCTTGGCTCATTAGCTGTGAGTTCTTTTAGTTTTCCTTTTTTGATGGCATATTTAGGAGGAGGAGGTGTGTGTTTGAAGTGTCAAGACCTCCTAAATCCGAAAGCTTAGGACCTAACTTTAAATGTGTTCAAAATTTGAATACAGATACGTGGACTTGTCATGCACATATATTATAATATGCTATATAATATTATAATGTATGATGCTATTACTCTTTATAAATATACCGTATTATAGTTTAAATTAAATAGAATATGGTGAAAAAGGGGGATTTCATCTATCTCGAAATTAGAAACATTCTTTGTTATTGAATTTAAGCTTTTATTCTTCTTTTTTCATCATTACATGTAGAGTATCATAATTTCCACTTTGTTTACATCATATGTGTTTTAGACGCATCCCATAATCATACTTATACTGTGTTGTGTTGACCACGGTATGTTGAGTGGAATAGGAGAGTAATTAGCACAATTTTTACTTGAATTGATTGAGAATGACTTCCTCAGATTACTTATCAAAAGAAAAAATAGAAAAGAAAAAGAATGTAGACTTCCTCAGATTTGGAGAGGACGACATTGCAAATGACTTCCTCAAATTTGGGGGGATGATATGATTCATTTAATTTTTGTGCTTGAATTGATCAAAAATCACTTTTGATGGCAAAGCCTAATGATGTGGCTTAGTCTGAACATATCATGTATATGGGAATTTGTGGGATGTGATACTTGGATTTTGTTCTTTTTATCTATCTTCATCTCACTAATGAAAGTGTTGGGCCCTAAAAATGTAGCAAGAATAACACCTTCATGTAGCGGAAATGAGAATATTAAGATGGATGAGTGGAGTGACTAGAAGAAATAGGGTCACTAATAAAAGTGAGAGAAAAACTAGATGTAGCACCCAGGTGAGAAAATTCGAGAGAGTAGACTTAGATGTGGACATATACTTCAGAGACCTAGTGACGCGCCAGTCAAATGCGGAAGACTAATTGTAATATAAGGTAAGAGATGGAGAAGGCGGTCAAAAATGACATGGGATGAGGTTACTAAAAATGATTTAAAAAAGTTAAATATAGTAGGTGAATTGGCATGTAATAGAAAAGCTTGGAGAGAGAGAGAAATCATGTGGCCTACCCCATTCACATGGGATTTAAGGCAAGGATGATGATGATGATGATGATATCTATTTATCTTCATGTCAATCAGGCAGTAGCAAAGGACCCAGATGATGCCATACAGTGGCACCAACTTGGCCTTCACAGTCTTTGCACCCAACAATTTAAAACATCACAAAAGTACCTCAAGGTTGCAGTTGCCCGTCTTAAGGAATGCAGCTGTGCGTGGTCGAATCTTGGTATGCGTGACTCTTTCCTCTTTTGCTGCTGTGTTTTCTCTTCTTTTTTTTATAAAGATAATCTTACAGTGCAAATATGCATCGCTAGGTATCTCACTGCAATTATCAGAGGAAGAATCACAAGCTGAAGAAGTATATAAACGAGCATTGTCATTGGCGACGGTTCAACATGCACATGCAATATTTTCCAACCTTGGGAATCTCTATCGGCAACAAAAACAATTTGAGTTTGCCAAGGCAATGTTTACAAAGTCACTTGAACTGCAGCCTGGTTATGCTCCTGCATATAACAATCTAGGCCTTGTATTTGTTGCTGAGGGTCAGTGGGAGGAAGCCAAGTTCTGCTTCAGCAAAGCCCTCGAGGTGGACCCGCTGCTGGATGCTGCTAAGTCTAACATGCTGAAAGCAGCAGTCATGAGCAGACTCTGTTCAGGATAGTCCTCATGTCTCTTTCAAGATTGATATGTACTCAACTGAAGGTCAGTAGCTTTTCCAATCCTGAAATAAAGGTTATAATATAATATGAAAAAATGAAGTTTCTATCTTTATTGGTCTTTTAATGGGTTAACCAGTTTCTCAATAGAGAGAGTGCTTATTTTGCAGACACCACAATTGTGGTCCATAAGATAAACAGCATGACTAGAACGAATATGAAAATCTTACAGTTTGTAGTATTCTCACTTGTCACGTCAGAATTTCAACTCATATTATTCTGAATTATTCTGAGGGGTGATTTCAAAAATGAAAGTTTAAAATGGAACAATGCAGATTAAAATATGGGCTTAATTAGACAAAAAGTTGTATAAATAGGGCCTTATGTAGAAATGCTTAGATTCTTTGTTGAACATTGTTCGGTCACCTTGAAATCAGATTTTTTTTAAGATCAGCATGAATTTTGAAGTATTTTTGAAAAGGCCCTTTTGATTAGTAACTATATGCAAGTCTACACTAACAAGATTGTTAGATTTGGAGGTTCAATTATGCTAGGGGAGGTGTTAGGCACCCTGGCAGCGAATGCACCCTACAAGATATCCCTTACAGAATGCACTGCTCAAAGACTAAGCCAGAGCTTTAAGAGATGAACTGAGAAATGCATAAATGAGAGCTCCAAAAGTCCATCATTCTTGTCCAGCATCGAGGGTCACCCAGATAGAGAGTGCACTCCGCAGGATATTCCCTAAACTAGTTACTTCAGTGTAGCCTTTTACATAGTGCACTACTTGGAGACCAAATTGAAGCTTTAAGAGATAGATTGATGGGGTATAAATGAGAGCTTCAATAGTCCATCATTCTTTTCCACAGAGAGGCATCCTGAGGGAGAATCACTCTTCAGTATATCCCCTAAACCAGCACTCTAGCTTAGCCCCTTACAAATGGCACTGCTCGAAGACCAAACCGGAGCTTTAAGAGATAAAGTGGAGTATAATTGAAATGGTTAGAGAGATCACCTAGTATGAGATGAAAGACTTTTCTCTCAACTCTCTCTAGCTCACTTTCTCTTTATAGCCTTCTTTTTATAGGAAGGAGTTGGTGGATGGCATAAATTAGAGTGGAGGGTGTATTTATAGAGAGATTGGAGGGTTCCTAGAAGTTAAAATAGGGATTTTGGGTCATTTGGAGAACTGATGGCCTATTTTGTCATGTAGTGTTGAGTGGGTGACGTGACAGCTTCTGATTGACATCACCAGTGCGCCACGTGGCAGTAAGTGGCCTTGAGGGATTTGTATGCACATACAATGATCCCTTTTCTATTTTCTGGTTTAGGTTTTGCATCGCCTTGTGGTAATACGCGGCTGGGGGCAAATTTTGGAGTTTTGCCTGTTGTCACATGCCTGCCCTCGAGGGACAAATTTGTCATCAGGCTTGTATAGGCCACGTTGTTTTGGACGGTGGCATCATCAAGTTGCCAGGTGGCAAGCCCTTTTGGGTTTGTGGGTGCCGTGTCATTGGCACAACGTGGCTAAAGTTCTTTCGTCACATCATTGGATGTGGTGGCTTGGTATTTTTTATCTTGGTTTGGTGCCTGGAATCCTGGTCTGGTTGGTTGTGTTTTTTGCTTATGTATTTTAATAACACTTAAATGTCCTTGTTTTACATTATTTTTTTCCTCCATTTACTAAAGTTATTATAAACAAAATTTTCTCCATTTACTTAAGTTATTATAAACAAACAACTCTCCATTTGAATTCAATAAAATAACTAGAAATCAAATTCTAAAAGAACAAAAAGTCAATCCTCATGGTGGCTCATGGATTTGAGTCCTGCTAATTCCCTAGCATCTGCAATTTGTGAAGACATTAAGATCATGACGAAGGATTGGGATCAATGAAGCTTGAATTGGTGCCCAAGACAGTGCAACATGGTGGCTCATGGCTTGAGTAAATAGGCTGCTCAAGATCAAAAAAGAGAGGTCGTTTTGGATGTTTGGCCTCAATAGTTACTCAACTTGTTGAATTTTGATTGTAATGCTGTTTCTATGGTTTAATGTTTGATTTTGTTTTCTGAAAAAAAAAATTGTTCTAATATTTCAGCTTTCAAATGACATGGATTTTTTTCAGAAATAAATTCTTAAAATATCATTTTATCACTAAATAACACTAAATTTCTCATTGGTGGGAAAAAACAATTTCAAATATGCAGTCTTTATACTTGGCACCCTTTTGGAGGCCCAAATTTCAACAAGTATGCAACATCAGCTTTTGAATTTTCAGCTTTGATTTTTATGTTCACTTGGGCGTTCCATGGGAAACTAACTCCTACCTTCCTAAATTTTAATATGCTAAATTCAAATTTGAAGTTTATTTTTGACTCTTGAGATATCTCATATGAAAATTGTGGTCAAAGTTAGAAACTTGATGGTTGACTATTTGTCCTTAACGGGGGATTTTTTATTGAGCCCATGACCAACCTTGAATGATGAGGAGTCAGTGGTTGAAAAGTGTAATTTGGGAAGATTCTTTGGAAGATTTAGAGAATTTGAGGGGTTAAATTTTCAATGGTGTTTAGCGTCGGATTGTCAAAGTAATTTAAAATTATAGCACGGGGCAAGATAGGGTGTCTACATCACTAGTTGGTGTTAGAAGAAAATTCTGTGGGGTTCTTTATGTGCAACTTCAATTGAGGTTATATACAACTGTGGAGAGTACTGGAGTCTAAAATCCGTGACAACACAGTGACGCTGGCATGGCATATGATATGGACAGGTAATTTCAGGGTTCAACAATTATAGTTGGTTATGCAATAAGAAAGAGGACCAAAAAAAAAAAAAAAAAAACTATAGAAATCCTCCTCTATTTGAACTGTCTAGGGATACGAGTTGATTGATTTTTTGAAAGTCTTTGTAAAGACTTGACTAGTTATTGAAATACTATGTTAGTTTAATCATGTAAACTTACTTTTCTTGGCGGAAGTGCTAAAAAAGGTGGTGAGGCATATGGAAAATCCGGCTTTTATTTCACTGGTATCAATATACGGAAAAGAGAAGGATCTGGATTCTGGAAGCATAATTTGCAAAATTTCACTTGACATAATTTCTCTATCATGGCCTTGCAACTCTAATAATCAATTCTCTGTCAGGAAACAGCTTTTGAATCTCATCAGTTCTTGCGCTCCTTCCCTTATGCAGCCTCTCCTAACAATTCCTACTTTTTGTGTGCAGGATAATAGGTTACACCCAACAATACATGGCTGCAGCTATAGCTATGCCTTGCTCAATGTCTCGTCCTTAATGTTCCCTCCATAATATCAAACACCAAACAAATGGTAAATCACATCTCCTTCCCTTCCTCCTAGAACTATCCAGAAGGCTGATCTTGCAACATATTAAACCTAGTGACTTCTTTGCCCGAAATGGCCATGGCCAGTGCTATATTTTTACATTGAGTCCAAGTGAACACCCCTTGGCTGCAAAGGAAATGATAGAAACAGCGGAAGGCGATAACATTGACCTACAAGCTCGCGACTTCTGCTGCTCATTATTCCAGCCACATTACAGGCTCTCTCTAACATTCTCAAGCAGGTAATTGCCAATTTAACAGAATGCGGGGGAAGAAATTGATCGATGTAGCACCTGGGATTGGTAGACTGGTCGCATCATGCTTCTCGACGTGGCTGGTGCATCTGCAAGTGGAATTGACGTGATCAGTGATGCTTCAAGTTACAACCAGAGTCTACTTTTGTAATTTGCCTTTGCTCCAGCACTTGTATGACTTGCAACTTTTAACTGGCTGTGAGTCAAATTAGCACGATTGGGTCTGGTAAGAAGGTTCTGCTAGAATCATCCACTCTCACAAGCCAACCAATATTTTGTGGGATTGTGTATAAGCTCAGTATCATATGTATATATATATTTTTATTAGTTTTAATTCAAATAAATAATAATAATAATAATGTGAAATCGTGTGAAAATGTTTGTCGGTGGTTATCTTGTGCAATCTAAATTCATCTGATACAAGGGAAACTCCTATTTTCTTATGAAGTGTCATGCCAAGCATATTTTGGGATAACCAGGCTTGGTCATCAAATAGAATGGTTTGTTCCTTAAACATTTATATTCTTAAAAAAAAAAAAGAGAGTATTTATTTATTTATCTTGATTAGAAACTCATCCACTCATTTTGTCTCTAGGAGGAGATGAACCGTCCTTCCATTTCAATGGAGGACATGAAGTTTTATTTATTTATTTTATAATTTCATACCATTTAAGGGGTAATAAAGTCTTTTTAACGGGTTGAAGGCCATTTTGGTCCTAATACTTTTTATTATTATTATTATTTTTTATACCTTTGGCGGAACAAATGGAAAATTGGACGGAGAAACCTGATGTTGCCACGCCCCCAACGGTTCACTGGAGTATGGTAGGACTTTTTATTTAAAATTTTAAGCTACACTTCCAATAAACTTATTAAGGAATATCAATATATTTTATTCTAAAAAGAATCACCATACTAGGACCTTTTTTTGGTCAAAATTTAAAGCTTAAACTTCTACTAAAACGTATTACCTTTGCACTTCTATTTTTTTTTTAAATAATTAAGGCTCGTTTGAGAACCATTCTTGTTTTGATTTTTTAATTTGATATGATGCAGGAGTGTTATTTATTTTAAAAGAAAAATTATAAAAGATTTGAATCGATATTATTATACATGTTCATTGTTGATTTAAATATTTTGAAAGGACAACAAAATCGTCAAGTGCAACCATTCTCAATTTGAAATAGAAGATGGTTGGATTGTTTCACAATGTAAAAAAAAAAAATTGAAAATTTATTTTATTTTAGTGATTTTTTATTATTATAAAAAAGATAGTATTTATATTTTATCGGTTTATTTTTAAAAATAAATAAATAAATCTCGCTATAGGTCACAAATCACAATAAGCGCGTATTCACACGCACGCACACACAAACAAGTACTCCATAATTCTCAATACTAGAAACCAGTATCCGGGTGGTCTGAGTAAGGAGAACACCTGAGTCCTGAGTCTTGAGTGAGCTCCGATCCGAGGATGAAACGATTCTTTCAACCAGTGGAAAAGGATGGGTCCTTCAAGAAACTCACTCTCTCTCCTTCTCCGTCAAACAAAGATGGTGTTGAGAACGCAGAAGTTCCCATTGACGAGAACAACAACGACGACAAGAAAGACCCAGTGAAGTTCTTGACGTGGAACGCCAATAGTTTTCTTCTTCGTGTCAAAAATGACTGGCCTGAGTTCACCAAGTTCTTGCAGAGTCTTGATCCTGATGTCATTGCAATACAGGTGACTCTCTGTCGCTTTGTCTGTTGGCTCTTTGATTTTTGGGCCTAACTAAGTCTGGGATTTGAAGGTCATTGATGCATTGTATGTATAGGCAAATGGGTTGTTAGGGTTTGGGTTTCTAGGCACTAGAGATTGATGGGTTGTGTGTATTGGCTTTGTATGTTGACAAATGCATGTAATGGCAAATGGGTATCAGTTTTTGGGTGCAAAATCCAAATTTGGTATTTGGGGTGTTAAGATTTGATGGTCTTGTCTCAGTATGGTTCATTTTTTGTTCATGCTCTTATATTTCCATTTTGTGTTTTTGATGATTAAGTCATTCAAGTCTTTTACATGCTTGTATTGAAGTGGTGTATAGCTACATTTTATACTGTGTTATCTACTCAAAGCGGTTTGTTTTTTAAACTTAATATTGTTATTTTGTTATTTATCGCACTTGGATGTCATTGATTGATATTACATACATAATGCAATTTGATTAGGACAACAACAAATGCTTTCATACAGAGGTTATAGTGATTGTGTCTTGGGAAGGCTTATAAAAAACTGGACTTTGAACTGCTAATCTATATAAAATCAATTGGGCAAATGGAAGAGGGTTGTGACTAAGACACCCAATGCAATACTTCTGACAAATCCTTTGTGCACAACATTCTGAAAATTTGTTCTAGATGGAGCAAAATTGCAGAAAGAAGAAAAAAAATATATATATTTGGGAAAATAATTTATAAGTCTACTTTTCACTGTCAAAGACTAAAAGTTGACTAATAACTGTTGGCAATTTATCAATGGGCATTAGCCTCGATGGTATGATCTCTCTTTCCCAAAGGGAAGGTTGAGTCTTTGGGCCCTGCCAGGGGCAATATTGTGGGTGTTTGTGCTTTTCGTTGAACTGTCAGGGGGACTTTTTTTTTTTTTGGCAATTTTCAATAAGATGGCAAGTCCTACTTTTAATTAAAAAAAAAAAATCCACATTAACCTAATTTTGACAAAAAATTTCCACATTAGTTTTAAACTATCATTCTTGCGTTACCTTAACCATTTATTACCATGTAATCCAGAATAAACTCAACTTAACAAAGCCCTCTCCCTGCATTTTCCCAACTTTCTTTGGGTCACCACATAGTTGTTAAAGGCATGCCTGGGGTGGGAGCGGATCAAAGTGCACCGGTTGCGCCTAAATAATGCATAGGCGAGTTTGACAAAGCCTTTGTTGCATGTAAGCAAGAAGCTACTTGCCAGAGTTCATGCAAACGAACCTTTTTAACTAGATTAGAACTTGTCCACGAGTCCATCACTCAAATTTTGACTGGATTTTTTTTAAATTTTTTTTATAGATTTATAATATGTACTATGTAAGATGAAATTTACTGTGGCTCTAGCAAATTGAGGAATTTGTCTTTCTTTTTGGAACCCAAAGATGTAACTGTTTTCTGCTTTGGAAAAATCCCATAACTACTTGCCAAATAAATAAATACAGAGGTGAAGGGAATCGGTTATTGAAAAGATTTAACTAGTTTTATGATGAGAGTAAAGAACCTGAGTCATGTGGCCAAGATGAGCTTGTTGGGAGATGCTTATTCATGAATCATGATGTCTTGGATTCTTGCATTTATCCACATAGATTGAGTAATAGTTTTATGTAGTGAAATGCTTCACCATGTCGGTCATTGAACTCTATATTCATTTAAGGTCCTTTAGATCTCTTGAATTACCCTTCATGGACCAAATAGTGATTCTAACCTAGTTGCTTTGATAAGTCAGTGGACAAGAATCTTTCTAATGGTGCTGTGATGGTAGGAAGTAAGGATGCCCGCAGCTGGTTCCAAGGGAGCACAAAAAAATCCAGGAGAGTTGAAAGATGATACAAGCGCTTCACGAGAGGAAAAGCGGGTGATACTGTTATTTACTGTTACTAATCATGTTCATATGAATATCGTTAACATATAGTTGTATCTGTGTATGTGCTTGTGTTAAAATCTATCACCAAAATTATGTTTTGAACAAGAATGTTTTAAGATGTATTATAAATTGAATGGATTTGTTGTTTTTCTGCAGATTTGAAGGTAAAAATAACCCATTATTTAAAATAGGGGCATAGAGGTGAAACATAAGTTGTATTTCTGTAATTGTTAAGCTAGAAGCAAAATTTTCATTTTTTTTAACAAATACGATTTCATACTTGATAAAATAATCTTTTAGGACAGATACCCAAGGCTTTGATATGTCAAAGTATACTATGCCCGATATTGATTTAAATTAGTGAATAGATTAACAATAAATGATTTTTGAATTATTGCAACTATATATGTATATATATTTTTCCTGAATAGGTTTATTTTTTTTTTTCTACAAAATGAAACATTAAAGTACAACAGGACAAGAGGTGATCTAGAAACAGAACACCTAAGAGACGAAAGAAAAAAAAAAGGACAATAAACTAAAGAGAAAACTGGGTGATGAGGCATACCCCAACAACAAACAAGAATAAGAATCAAAGGATCCAAAACAGGGAACTATATTTGCCCCTAACAGAGTATTGCACACTAGGAGATCAGAAAAGTATGCCGAGTTCAGCAAGGGATAGACCCCTTGCTGTTAGGGCTTCAAAGCAGGCTTCCATAGCTAGATGATGAGGAGCATGGACTCCACCAGCATCTAGTCTTCTATTCCTCTCACACCATATACACCAAAGGGTGGCTGTGAAAACACATCTCACCAGTCTGCATTTGACAGACTGTCCAGTTGATTCAGTGACAAATCAGAGAACAGCTTCAGAAAAATGTCCACAAGTGATAACAGGAGACCAGTGACATGTTTGAGCCAACCAACTCCACACTGAAGCAGCATAGGGACAGCACCAAAACAATTGATCTCGTGAATCCACACCAGAGAAACAGTTTATGACAGATTGGAGGGCCATTAAATCCTCTATTCCTGAGGTTGAAGAATGATGGAAAAGAATTGTTCAATATTGGGCAGCTTGCAAAACCACTCTTTGTCTACAAGAATTACACACCAGCTTACTCCATGGAACTGGATCACTCATTTCGCTACACACAGTCCACATGGTCTTAAAAGAGATCTGACCATGTTTCCATTGAATCATATCATCCACATCAGAAGTAGGATATTGAAAGAACTCTCTAATTTCCTCAGGTCAGCATGGTGGCACATTCCAACCAGCACCAGTCCTTAGAACAGAGATAGTATCTGAATAGTGGAGACCTGCAGGTTGTAACAAGTTCCTCAACCCAAACTTTTGCTGTAGAGACAATCCTTTAAACCAAGGGTCATAGAACAAACTAAAACTATTACCCCTACCAATTGAGAATTTCAGATTGTGCAATATTGATTCTCTACAATTGTATTGCAATTTTATTTTAATGCAGCAATATGAATTAGTTAAATGCGGAGTACATAAATAAATAAATAATGCCATCACACAAAAACACACGATTTTTACGTGGAAAACCCCAATAGGACTAAACCATGGGACCTAGTCTAGGAAAACTGAATCCACTATGTGAAGAGGCTACAACTAAGTTAATAGTCTCCAAATCCTAGAACTCCTAGTTACCTCCTTGACACAGATCGATCAACCGAAGACTCCATGAGTCTCTATGTGCACAATCCGGTTACGAACATATTTCGCTTCTCACAAAATGTGTTTCTTGCACTAGTGATTCAGTCTTAGCCACGTCCAGGTTGTGTGTTTTTTATGTAGAAATACTTAGATCAACACTCTGAATAATGACTCACCATCTAATGCAACATGCTTGATGATGAAAACAAAAATGTACTCTCTATATGATCTCTCTTGGTATGCCCTCAATAGTGTGTAGAGATTTCTCGGTATCTGTAAATTTTTATTAGAGTCTAAAAGCCTTTATATAGTTCTATGAGTTCAAAGAAATTAGGGTTTCTTAGTTATAATTAGAATAGGAAATCTAAACCTTTTAGGAATCTGATTTAGAGAAGTTTCCAAAAACTATTCGCTGCACAGTTCAACTGTCCTTGGTTCGATCGATTGAGCTATTATGGACTTAAATATTGTTATTGGAAATTCTTGATTGTTTGACACATTGATCGAGGCTTACTGTTTATTGTAAAAGTTTTCTTGTTTCAATATGTTTATTCCAAAAACAACTTCATGCATTCAGGAACATCTTTTTCATGAATCAAAATGTGTATGCATTGTGCCCTAAAATGAGAATGCATGATTTTGAATCCTAGTGGTGAGTTAGTTATTCAAAAGGTGATTTTACCATTTTGCCTTTTTATGTATCTTCAAATTATGATTCTGCTCTTTGATATAGGTACCACCATAAATAATTAACTGAACTAACTTTTGAAATTATAATTAAAAGCTAAATTATAAATACAGACTACGGCTTTTGTTACAAACTTGCCAACATTAAGTTCTAATCCTACTAATCTCCCCCTTTGGTAATTTTGTGACAAAACCAAAATAAGCTGAACAGTGTATAATTAGAATAAAAATTTAATAGACTTAAAAGACTTCAAACGTTGCTTGTCTTCTTGGACTAGAATTGTTTGCACTACAAAAAGGTAAATTGATCTTTTGAAAGGATACTGTTAGAATGTTATATATATATAAGTGTTGGGTCATTATGTAATTACAGAAAGTTGATAGGGCCCTTGTGTTATTAAGTAAGACTTGTAATCATTATATAAGCCTGCATAGGCTTATTAGGTCTGTTATGTTGAATATACAAGATACAATCTCTCTTTCTCTCTCTCTCATATGATCATGAACAGATACTAAAATGAATGACTAAATAATTTTGTGCTAGTGGAGTTTCATGGGAAGGAACATAATTAAATATAGTAAACAAGAGGAAATGTTGATGGTTTTTTAAAAAATAGCCTCAATTATTATTATTATTATATATATATTCTTCTTAACGTTGAATGAACTAGTTATATGCTTGATAGATAGGTTTTGCAGAAGAAAATTTCAAATAGCCTTATGCATGAAAGTTACATATGTTCGATGTCTCTAACACGATATCATACTAATAATGTTTTCTGAAATATGCAGATTTTGATGCGTGCCATTTCAAGTCCACCATTCAAAAGTTATAATGTTTGGTGGTCTCTTTCAGATTCAAAATATGCAGGGACTGCATTGTTTATAAAAAAGTGTTTCCATCCAAAAAAGGTCTCTTTCTCGCTTGATCGATCAGGTAATTTGGTACCCAATTTTTATAGTTTCTAAAAGTTTTCTCTTTGATGCAGTTTAACGAATCATAGTTACATTTGAGACTCATTCTAAACTAACATTGCAATTTGTCTACCCGAATATTGATCTAGATAATTATTTTGTCTTTATTCTTTACGTGCCACACATAAATAGGGACAGCTCTCTCTCTCTCTATCTATCTAACTCTCTCTAGCACATAATTTTGTTTTCTATCTTTAGTGAGCTTTATTCTCTACATTTGTAATTTGAAATTAAAGGTTGTTACCCAGTATTGGTCCCCTTTATTTGAGGGTGTTGGGAGGAGCAAACTAGGTACAGACCTAACTTTAAGTAATATTTAGGGTAAATTACAACACCACGCCCGTGGTTTGCCTTATTGACAGCCAGATACAACTTAGCCCAATTTTTGACAATGACACCCCCCTTGAGTTGTTAGATCCAAACAGAGCCAAAAAAAGAATGAAATGTCTACCTTGCCCTTCAAAAAAATATTGATTTTTGATGTAAAATATCGGAACATTTAGATGACGGAATTGCCCTTGTAGTATTATTCACCACATCTATGGTTTTTGGGGCCAGATGAAGACAGCTGTCCTCACTCTCATGTAACATTTCATCTCTCTATCTCTCCCGTTCTCTAGAATTCTCTAATTGTGCATCTATCTCTTTCATCTTTCTTTCTTTCTAACATTACGACATGCAATATATAGTCTCTCTCTCTCTCTCTCTCTGTGGTAAAAGCGACATGAAACCCTAGTTTTTGCAAATGGAACCCTAGCTTCTCTAGCCTTTCGTCTCTCTAACTTCTACAAGTGTTTTTTCTTAACTGATCTTCACGACTCATGTTGTATCTCAGTGTGATTCTCAAGTTTGCATGAAGAAACATTAACTTTGGTGGTTTGATGTGATCAGATCAAAGGGTCTTTTGGAGGACTGTTGTGTTTGTTCGCTTACTTTGTAAGTAACCGATCGTCATCTTTTCATCTCTCTCTAACCTTCTGATTGCATGTGGGTTTTTGTGGTCGTTGCATGTGATATGAACTTATTCGGCTTGCATGCATATTGGATGTATATTTGCCTTTATTGCATGTTAGGTTTGCAAAATTAGGGTCAATTTTGGGTCAATTTATGATCTGTCATACCACCGTTACAATTAGTTAGGTTTATATATATGGGATTTTCATGAAATTGGGTTTATATACTGAAATTTGTTACAATTAGGGTTTTCTGTTTGGGGGTTTCATCATTTGGGGTTTTCTTCTTCATTGCATGTAATGCAACAAATTTCATGAAAACCCCAAATATAAACCCATAACTAATTGTAATGGTGGTATGACAGATCATAAATTGACCCTAATTTTGCAAACCCAACATGCAATGAAGGCAATTATATATCTAATATGCATGCAAGCTGAATAAGTTCATATCACATGCAACAAACACAAAAACCCACATGCAAACAGATGGTTAGAGAGATGAAAGGTTACACAGAGTGATGGCAATCGGTTACTTACAAAGTAGGCGAACAAACACAACAGTTCTCCAAAAACCCTTTGATCTGCTCACATTCAACTACCAAAGTTAGCTTTTCTTCATAAAAACTTGAAAATCACATTGGGATACAACATGAATCGTGAAGATCGGTTAAGAAAAACACTTACAGAAGTTAGAGAGATGAAAGGTTAGAGAAGCTAGGGTTCCATTTGCAGAAACTAGGGTTTCATGCCGCTTTTACCCAAGAGAGACAGACTGTATATTGCATGTCGTAATGTTAGAGAGAAAGATGAAAGGTTAGGGAGTATATTGTAGAGTTAGAGAATTCTAGAGAGCGGGAGAGCTGAAAGGTTAGGTGTGAGTAAAGACATCTGTCTTCATTTGGCGCCAAAAACCACAGATGTGGTTACTAATGCTACAAGGCAATTCCGTCATTTAAATGTTTTGATATTTTACCTCAAAAATCAATATTTGATTGAAGGGCAAACTAGACATTTCATTCTTTTTGGGATCCAACAGCTGATAGGGGGCGTCATTGTCAAAAAATGGACTAAGTTGTATCTCTGTCAATAGGGCAAACCACAGGGGGCGTCACTGTAATTTACCTTTATTATTATTATCATTTATTTATTTTTATTATTATATTTTTTTATGGAGGTGAAACTGTTGTCCTGTTACCAAATTGCAATTGTCAATGCATGACTCTATTGTAGTCACTAATCAATATGTCATTCTTATTGGTATGGAGGGCCACAAGAGAGGTATTGGGGAAAACATCTTATGTACTAGCATACACGTTTATATTACCGCTAAAACTTTTATCAAATTATTTGCAGAAGAATTAAAAAGTTAAACTTTTAGATGAAGTGAACTTTTTTTTTTTTCTTTTTTTTTTTTCCCTGAGCGTTCACACCAACATTATATGGCTTAACACATGGATCAAATGCCGAAGCCTCGGCTTGTGGCCACAGAACGGCCGTTGAATTGGTCGGTCTTCAACAATTGATTCTTCTGTAGACATTCATTTTTGGATACAAATTTAAATCACTTACATTTAAACGTGGGTGGAAGTGCCAGTTAGTCTAGCTGGTAAAATCTGTGTAGTTGTTGGGTTGTATTGATAAGGGTGAGGGCTAGCCCCTATTGTATTGCCAGATAATTGGATTGAGTAAAAATATAAAAGTGCAGAACCTTTTCTACAACCCCCCAGGAAGTATTATTTTCAAGCAGTCCCCTTATGAAATCACCAATTTATTATCCAGGGACTAGTTGTAGAAATCTCTAAGCTATAGTCATGTTTTCTTGCTTTCTTTTGTTTGTTTCCCATGTACCAAATGTATGTATATATATATATATATATTACTATGGTATAGGATCGATGATTGGATTATTTTGGATTTTCCAATTTCATTCTAGCAATGACCAACTATTTAGTAAGAGACTTCAATTGATATATTATAATTGTCAAGGACTTAAAATATGGGATCAAGAGTCGATGTTTCCCTTGTAATTTTGAAAAGAAAGAGAAAGTAGGAATGATTTTGAAGCCCTGGTTAAATAAGCTTTGTGAAAAATAGCATAATTTTATATTGAGAATATTTAATTTATATTTGTTACTACACAAATACAATTGAGCCATCCTAAACTTTTGCTGTTAGAACAAACTTACCTGCTAATTTCCTTCCTACTGAATAGAACACATTTTGGGTCCCCAAAGCAAGAGCCATATTCCAGTTAAAAAGAGAGATTTCAAATAAAGCAACATTGTTGGGGGGAATAGGCAGCAGGCCTCTTATTCAGGGAAGAACCTTTTATTGGAGGATAGAAATCCAAAAAGGTTCCTGAAGTTAGTGGGGGCATGGCCCTGCCAGCCCCTCTTATATCAGTCACTGGTCAACATCATATGTCTAAAAAAATTTGGAATCCTTACGATTTTAACAAACACCAACCTGCAAGGAGTTAGAAACTGCATACGTAATTCATCTTTGAACGATAATCTATTTATGTTCTTTACAAGTTCTTGAGTTGAGTAATATGAAATCTTTGTTTCTTGCCCGAAGGAAAACTAAATTGGTACTGGCCAACAGCCATCTCGTTGATTACAAAATTGGATGAAAATTTATTGTTGACTGTGGTTGTATAATATCATAAAACCTGCAATCCGCAATCCTATCTACTAGATAATCCAGATAAATCTGGGATTTTCTTTGTGAAATAAATTCAGTAAAATGAATATTTCACATACCAGTAAGTTTTATTTTCCTTCTTTGGCAGGGCGATTAATCTTTGAGCTAGTACGATAAGATATGATCTTGAAAGGATTTTGAACTGTTGAAATGGTTGATCACTAGTCCAACAATAGAACCTCTCAGCATTGTCTGTGAGAAACATGGATATGAAACACATTCTAACCAGTGGCATCTTATTAGTAGAACATGCCATTCAGTGGATAACTCTAACAATGACATATAGGATTTTCAGTACTTGGAGAGACAATAAAGTTTTTCAACTTCAGACGCCTTAAATACGTTTTATCCACTTGAAGGAATATATTGAATAAAAGACTGGTAACTCATTCCATTAAGTGCTATAAACTTTCAATTTGTTGGTGTTGTCAATGTGCCATTATGCCATAAGAATCTCAACAAAGCAGACAAGTATTAATACTACAGCCAAACCTACAAGGCTTAAGGCCTTGAGGCAATGGAATTGCACACACACATATAGATATAAAACAATCTTCTGTCTGTGTCTTCTCTCCCAACAGGACATATATATTTTAAGGAGTAGACAAGAATGACTGGAAGAAACTCAAAGTTTCTGGTCTTGTAATTTGCAAGGTTGCAATTTGCTCAATTTGTGGCTTTTAATCTGTGAACATGGAATGGCAGGACATCTTCATGTTGGAACCATCTAATAATATGATCAACTATTGACAGAAAGAAAACTTCAACATGCTTTTGCAAATTTCATTATTATTATTATTTTTTCAAATTGCTTCTAGCAACATATCTGGTTCTATATTTTATCTGTTGTAGTGGTTAATTCTATATGCATGGAGAAATTCTGTGAACATTTGAACTTGGATGTCTATTCCTTCATACTATTTTATTCCTATGGATGTGAAGCAAATGGTGCAATTAACTCATAAGAGTTTGTTTTGTTAGCTTCAAAGCATGAACAAGATGGCCGGGTTATTTTGGCTGAATTTGAGTCATTGCGTGTATTAAATACATATGTGCCAAATAATGGTTGGAAAGAAGAAGAAAACTCATTTCAAAGGAGACGAAAATGGGATAAAAGGATTTTAGAATTTGTTTTGCGGTCTTCAGATAAACCCCTTATTTGGTGTGGCGATCTTAATGTAAGGTAACATTCTTTTGTTCTAACTTGGTTCTATTTCCTTTCAGATGCTTGCTTTCTTGTTTTGTTTGTATGTTTTAATTTATTTTCTCTCATACAAGCTGAACTTCAATCATTCTTTTTTAAGTATTGTACATGTGTGAATGATCTCATGTGTTTTTTGGATAGCTTGATCTTAGATGTTTTTGGGTTTTGTGCAACTGTATATGGGATGTGCTCTCCTTTAGAGCACTCTTCATTTGATATTATTACTTATCAAAAAGAAAAAAAATTTATTAATTATTTAAATCGTTGACAGGGGTTTGAATAAGTTATTGGATCTGAATTCGGTTGATTGATGGCCAAAATTTTCATATGAAGTGTTGTTTGACATTGTAAATTTCCATTATTTCTATTGACTTGTACTACAACTAAAATTTTTACATTATGTTTTCTTTCTATGATCATTTTGACTTTCTTTTTTCCAGAGTACTATTTATAAGTTAAATATTACAGCTGCACAGCATTGGCTTCATTGTTGAAGTGCCTCTTGTAAGAAATTCTGCTGTTGGTTGAAATCCTTTGCATTGAGCAATTGAGCTCTAATTCAAGTTTGTCTTCAGTTAGACTAGAGTGGCAAACATATATATATTTTTCATTATGTAAGGATTAGTTTCATTACGAAAAAAATATTCAACAAAGTCCAACCAAGGCAAGAATAACCTCTCACAACCCGAGAGGATAGGCAAACCCATAAGACCTCTTACATCTTGATAGGATAAAATACAATGCTAAAACCCTAAAACCTCTTACAACATGAGTGGAATAGGTGACTAAGAAATCTTAACAACTCCAAAAGCTAAGGAGTGTTATAACCATCCTTCCCATTCTTCTAGGATTCTTAGGCTTACTAAAGATTTTATTTTTTCTCTTTGAGTCTAAAGGTATGCCTTAGGTTTCTCTCTTGTGGAGCACTTCCCATATTCCTATTTTCATTATTAATGATTTTCCTCAGATTTGGTATTGCTTCAGGGGGCCAAACCCTACACATACATAACATGTTGAGAACTGTTCCCTTCCTTGTGAAATTTACTAGTCTCCTCAATAGAAGCTCAGGAATCAAGACTTCAAACATGTTAGAGCTAACAGTGATCCCATCACCTTTACCCTTGGAAGAAGGTGAAGAGTCAACGATGTCTTTGCCCTTCCTCTTGGGTATACATTGTCATTCAGTTAGGGAGGACTCACCATAACCGCTTTCACCACCTTTTCTCTCCTTCCTCAGGTAGAGCGTTTTGTGGTGGTGGGACAAGCATTGCTAGTGTCCAAAATCATTGCAGATTTAACATTTATGAGGCTTCCAATATGGTTGAACTTTGATCTCATATGGATCACTATAACCAAGCTTTAGCTAGAAAGTTACTTCTCTTCCATAATGCTCATCTTTTTTGAGGAAGTGACACACTGCCATTATTCAAAAACATAATCTGGCGCCCAGTACGGTGAAATCTATTGTTATGGAAGTAATTTACATATTTGTGATTTTAGTTGAACTTGATGCAATCGAATATAGATCCTCTCCAGAAAATACAGTACTTTCCATTGCAGTGCAATGCTACTAAAGTTGGTAACACTCTTATTTCGAAGGCACAACACCTCTAGTATTAAGTCCACAACACCACCTTATTTTGAGGTTGCAACACCGTTACTTCGAAGGTGTTGCATCTTCGAAACAAGGGTGTTGCGAGCTCGATATGGGTTATTGCAAACTTGATCTAAAGGTGTTGCACCTTCAAGATAAGTGTGTCACGAACTCGAAGTAATGGTGTTGCAATACAGTGGAAACATAAAATATTTTACAGGAAGGATCCGGGTCCTTGTACAATTATATAATTTGACTGATTCAACTTTCAAAAACCTTTTCTTTTTTACTTTATTGAAAAAAAGAAAGTGCAATTTTATCTGCATATGCATTATTTTGGAGTTTCGACTGCTGCAATGCATCATTCTTATCGAGGAATTTTCGCTTAGATTTAAATTTTCATCTGCAGCCATGAAGATATTGATGTGAGTCATCCGGAATTCTTCAGTGCGGCAAAGCTCAATGGTTATGTTCCTCCAAATGAAGAGGTGTAGTACTTCACTTGAATGCTTTTATGAGCAGATTTTGATCGCTTCCAAACCCCTTTTTTCTGAAGACGTGATCTTTATGAAGTATCCCTACTGATTCCACAAATTGCTTGAAATGTTAGATCTTGAAAATGAACCATTAAAGTGAATAGGATGTTTACGCAATTCAGTTGTATTTATGGTTTGGTCATGCCTCTGAAAGTGAATGGCTCCCGTGATCACAAAGCATTTGAAGGCCAAAAAAAAAAAAAATCTACAATGGGGCCATTCATGGATATTGGGAGCCAACAGCAGAATTGGCGGTAATTGGAAGTATTATGATTTCAAGAAATGCTGCAGTTTCAAATATTTTCTTTTATTTGTATTGTTGACTATAAATTTTTTGTTTCATAGCCTATGTACGATGATGGTTTTGCACATAGTACATAAAACATGATGGGACAAATTAATTTGCAAACGACATCCAAATGTTTTCGAAGTATATTCATGATTCCCCATTCTAATAGACTTTTCTTTTGACTACTTGATGTTGCAGGACTGTGGGCAACCTGGATTTACCTTGGCTGAGAGGAAGCGTTTTGGGGCTATATTAAAAGAGTGTGTAAATCCATTTAATAAATTTGCTTTATTTCAAATGATTTGATTAGGATAGTAGCACCATTATCTATAAACTGGTGGTTGTTCCATGAGATCAGATCAATTAGAAATGTGAATAATTGTTAGCCTCTATAAACAGTCTACTAGTTTATGTTGACTTGATATGTTCTTTCAGCCATAGGATTCAGGGTTATAGGTTGTTCAGTTTCCTTAGTTTATCTGATGCTGGTTTACCTATAACTCATGGAAAAACTGTGAAGTCTATTGGTCATCAAATTGTTTTTTATTGCTGTTACTATTTATCTTTTCTTCTCTTTTGTATTAAAGTTTAATTGGGTTAAATACCATTGTAATTGAGTTTGACTGGGTGGTAATGGAATTATATTTCTTTACATGAAATTAGCCCCCAAATCAGGTTGGGTGTTCAAAACCATAAACTCAACATGTGATTTGGTAGAACCTCAAATCTCTGGGTATAGAAGTATAGAACTACGTAGTTTTGTCCTACATATGCCTGTTAGAAGCACTGAGCAGGATCGAGCAGAAGTTGATTTGAGGCAGGAGTGTAGAATACTTGGCCTCAAGGGGATCCATGTCTTTCATTTCATGAAAACTTCTAGCAAGAATTAATTCTGTATGATGATTAATAGACGATTGGCATTTTCTTAGTTTTAAAAAATTGAAATAAAATTTTTATTTATTTATTTACTTCTAAGAGCTTAGCTTTAGTGGTATCTCATCTGCTTTCAAGTATAACATTGTGGGCTCAAGTTCTCATCAGGGACAATTGTGGGCATGTACATGTGTCTTACTTACAATAAAAAAGGCATCAATTTGTTTTCATAGTTCTACTAAGGTTTGCACTTTGCAATTAAACCATTATTCATTTCCCTTTTTTATTGTTATAAAATGTTATTAGATGGAAAATTTGGTTTTTTTGACCCCTCTAGGTTTTCTTCATCTTGTTCAAATTCCTTCATGATAGATTTATGGTTTTGTCACTTGTCAGTTGGGTTGGTAGCCTTATTGGCTTTTGAGCTGTAAACATTGAACTGAGGGATCTAGAACAGTGGCTTCACCTAATATTAGAAGATTTCTACAACTGTATTTGACTATATTCTATCAGTTCTTTGTTACTATAAACATACCAACAAAAAAAAAAAAAAAAAACTAGAGTCATGTTAAGTTCTTTGTACACTGCTAATAAAAAAGCAAGTTTGTAAGTTTATGATAGATTTTTTCAAGTCCATTTGTAATAAACAAAGTAACAATCAGGTCACATTGGAAAATTGGGTAAATTAAGTTCCATAAAATCATTTCCTGAATTTAGTTTTCTCTAATATGAAAAATGATGCCTATCCGTTAATGAGAGAGAGAGAGAGAATTAAAATTGACTTCTTGTTGGCTTTATTTGTGTGTGTGTGTGTTTCCCCCTCATGTATCTTTCTGTTCACGGAGTTGAAGTTTTAAACTTGCTTTGATCACTCTGAATTATGCTTCAGGGGAAAGCTTGTAGATGCATATAGATTCCTACACAAGGAGAAAGACATGGAACGTGGCTTTTCATGGTCGGGAAACCCTGTTGGAAAGTAAGAAGTAGATACTGTTTTAATTTCAAGATACAAAAGAAAATGTGATTTTGGTGTGCTGCGAAAAGTATAAAATTTATTAGCTCATTAGAGTAACTTGTTTTTCAATTTAATCCTATGTTGATGTTGTTTTTCAATTTAATTCTTGCAGGTATCGAGGGAAAAGGATGAGAATAGACTATTTCGTAGTTTCGGAGAAACTCAAGGAAAGGATTGCTGCATGTGAGATGCATGGTGAAGGAATTGAATTACAAGGTAAACTTATTTCCTATTTAAATTTTTTTGTATTTACTCCCATCAATATTGTTTTAAAAAAATTTCATTGTTCATGTAATAAGTTAAAACATCAAGCCCTAAGTATAGAAAAAGGCCCAAGTGCACTGTTGGATGTTGTGGCAGTGGCATTTCTGGATGACTGCAAAAGATAGTCATTCTGTGCCCATAATGAATGACAGGGTTCACTTATCACTAACCACAGTGCCTCATCATAAGAATAAGATGGACCATTTTTGTAATTCTGTACCATTTAGACAATTTTTAAGCATCTGTGGATATACTTCATATGTTTGAAAAAAAATTTCTTTCCAAGTTCCTTCAGCCATTTACTTTTTTTAAGTATGCGCTTCAGCATCCTCCGTGGAAATAAATTCAGTCCTTTGATTTTTTTTCTACAATTAGAGAATGTTCTTTGTTCTTTCACAGTATATAAAATAAATTTATTATTGTTGTATATAAAAGGTCCACAAATATTTGGGACAAAGCTTTGTTGAGCTGAGATGGATGTGGAGGTCCATATTATTTGGATTTTATAAAATAAAGTTGTTTCTCTTTTTTACTATCAGATGTTGTGGTGGCTCCATAAATATTTGTGTACTTGTCAAAAAAAAAAAAATTGTGGTAGGTACTTCAGAGTTACACAGTAGCTTTTAGGTTTGTGGATGAAGAGGGTGTTCAGGCTCTTGGGTTGGCAGGAGGCTTGAACCTAAGACCAGGGTAAGACAACCAATAGACTTTACCTCCTAACTGGATGGCATCTTAGGTATAACTTTAGGTGTTTTTTTTCGAAAGAATCCTTTACTGCTGCTTTGAAAATGCAAGTTCTGGAGTTGATATTAAACTGTTTGCAGGTTTTTACGGAAGTGACCATTGCCCAGTATCTCTCGAGCTTTCACCAAGTCCTGATTCCAACCAAAGCTAAGTTTCCACAATGTATATGAATTCTGAAGTTTATGTGCCCTTTTTGTTATGATGTAGCATATTCTCTCAGTATACTTAACATTTTGGATGGGGTTAATTGGAATCTTTCTAGCCGATTCACTTAATGCATGTCTTCCTTTCGTCAATATGAATTCAATTGAGATACATGCAAGTCGGTGTTGGGGGTTCATTTTAGGCATTCCGCCTGGCTATTGATTGGCCTGGTGCTAGGGAAGGAGTTCTGTCGCCCACTGCCCACCAGGGAATGATTCTGTGGATGTCTCATCCACCTTTGTTCAAATGCCAAACCTGTCGTAAGAATTTCTGTAGATATGGGAAGTTTACTCCTTGACTAGGGAATCAATTTTGCGAAATCATGTCAATGTCGTAGATTGGGTCATCATCCAATAGCAGCAGAATCTTATTAGACATATTTGTAAAGGCATTTTTTGAGGCAATTCATCTCTCATCATGACTGTTCAAATCATTTTACCAGGGCATGAAAATTAGCTATCTGGTGAGGATAGTTACAGTGGAAATCCATTGTTTTGGGTGGTTGTGGATGAGAATGATTAGTGATTTAAAGTGCTGAACCTGTTGATAGTTAAAACACAAAACGCTTGGTCGGTAGTGATTAAATTTGAACCAAAGACATTAATAATTAGGTTTATATGACTGGCTTATACATGTGTTACTTTTTAGTGGGACCAAAATGCATGGCTACATGATATTGGAGTTATGGAAAGGGCATTTTGTGATGATTGGGGTGTTGTGTGGTGGAATCTAGTCATTTAAAATGAGAGCTGCTGTTTTTAATGGTTGCACGCAGTCTCCTATTCTTGACATATGTGGGCATATTATATACATGAGAGAGTAGGTTGTGAATGCAACCACCGTGGCTTCCTTTATAGCAATTTCCTATTCTATGATCTATGAAAGTAAATTATTTTTGTGTGTGTGTATATATATATATATATATATATATATATAGACCTGTATCTATGGCAATAGGTTAGGTTTTTTTTTTGTTGTACACTTGTACCCACCCTTGGAGGGCTATGGTGTGTTTATATGGGTTAAATTTGTCATTTTCTCTAGATGAAGACAATGTTTTTGTGCAGGCACAAATAAAGGAAAAAAAAAAAAAAAATAGAAAATCATGTTTTTCAATATGGGAGTTAATTAAATATTTTTAAATTTCATTCCAACTTTTTTATGCACAAGGGCTGTATCCTATGTGATATAATTTTAAGATTAAACAGTTTTGGCTTTCTAAGATTCTATTATTAGAGGGTGGGCCTTGTCACAAAGGTGAATTGTTTCATTGTGACTTATTTGATTAATGAGAAATAAAAAGAAATATAAAAAATTTGAGTGGCTGAAGTTGAAGCAGCTAACAACTGGAGTGGGAGAGTAAGAGTAAGAGTCGAATGATTTCTCACTTCTTTCTCTCATTCGAAACTAGGTCACAGGTTCAAAACCAATAAATACTCTTTGTATGCCAAGGTAAGATTGAGTATATCTATCACTCTTTAGACTTTAGCATAACGTAAGCCTCCTATATGACTAAGATACAAATTTGGGCTATTCGGTAACCGTTGGATGTTCTGAAGTGGATTTTCAAAGGACTCTCTATTAATATGGTCTGTGAACAGTGAAATAAAATAGACCATCAGAAGTGCACGATATTGGTAAAGGTTCCCAAAATATCTACAACTATGTTCCCCTTATTTCCCAAACCAGTAATCAATCACCAATAATGCAAAAGATCCATATTCTGATGTCTGTTGAATTTTGCCTATTTAAAAGGCATTGACAAATTGTAGGTACCCATTTAGTGTCACTCTCTTTTAAATACAAGTCCTTTCACTTTTTTTCAAATCAAAAGACTATATATGATGGTATTCTGTTTTTATCATTAACTTGGGGGCACAGAAAAATATCTAGTTATTAAATTATAATCTAAATATTGAAACTAAGAGAGATTGAGTGGACAATGGTTAACAAACAGACCAATCTCTTATTTCCATATGTTACATCTTCAAATGGATTTTGATCATAGACATTGGTCATGTACCAAGTTCAGTAAATTTGGGTCAGTGTGTGTGTGTATATGAGTGTGTGTGAAAAGTATGATGATGTTTGTTTTTTTAAAATTAAACTTGATTTAACTAGTGGGCAACATTCACTACATATGTATATAGCCAGTGGGCATGCATCTATTTATCAATCCATGCAGCTAGATAATCATTTAGTAAATATAACAAAATTCGAATTAATCTAAGGGCGCCTAATTCGAATGTGACCAAGATGATGATTCTGATGATAACGAAACAAAAGGGAACCAAAAATGAAAAGACAAGAAGAAATAAGTCAAATTATTCAAGATATTATGTATGTTAGAAAATGCCACATTTTAATTTCAAGGAGCCATTAGTCTAATGGTATAATCTCTCGTTTCTCAGAAAAAAGGTGAGGGGTTCGAACTTGACTTGTATGTGTGCGCTTGTATATAAAAAAAATATTAATAATAAAATAAAATAACATTTTAGTTTCTTCAAATTTATGAAGTTCACTATTAAATTTTTTTTTTTTTTCAAAATTTTATTCCCACCATAGCCTTAACAAGAGCTTAAGTTTGACTTTCTTTCCCCTTTTTTTTGTTCAGAAGTACATAACGATTCTTACTGTTTTCAATGATTTATATCTTTTTACCCAAGCCCACAACTTCCATACTTTATTCATTTATTTTTGTTATGCCATGATGTCAGCAACTCATATTAATTATTTAGCTATTTATTTATAACTATAGAGAACTAGTGTTCAAATTTCAAACCAAGGTGTACGTACCACTGCAAACACCACTGCAAACATAAATAATATCAATTCTTATTAGTTCCATTACACAAGAATAAATGAGTGGATTTTTATTTTTTATTTTATTTTTTTTTCCTGGCAAGAATATATAATTGAGTAACAAGGATAGGGAAGAGAAAGAAAAAGAGGAAGGGTAGAGAGGATAGAGTGTTAGACTTCTCCCTCATCACACACACACACACACACACACACACACACACACTTATAGGGAAATTAAAGCAAGTCTATATACCCACTATACAAAATTAAAGCAAGTTCATATACTCACCGCGCACACAAAATTAAAGCAAGTTCATATACCCACCGTACACAATCATATATATATATATATATATATATATATGTTAAAAAATTAAAGCAAGTATATATACCCACTATGCAAAATATATTCAAAGTGAAACTCGAACTTTCAACCTTTTTTTATTTTTTATTTTTTATTTTTTTTATTTTAAGTAAGGAGAGATCATATATTTGGAATAGAGGTTGTCTCCTCTTTTAATCCTTCCTTTCCCATCAAAAACTATTTCGATAAACCAACTACTTGTTTGCTACAAATAAAATAATTGAACTTAATGTGTTCTACTTGCTTGAATTTTGATTTAAAGGAAAGAAAGCGTGGAGTTGAAATAATTTACTCAGAACGCCCTTTAAAGGATTATGCGGTACGATTAAATCGAATAAGCCCTTCTAGAATAAATATTCGGCCACTTGTGAACCTTCGGGTACTGTTTTATGCAATGTTTGTTCAATTACTCTTTTACCTGCAAATACAATGTAGGCATTGGGTTCGGCAATAATGATATCCCCCAACATACCAAAATTGGTTGTCACCCCACCAGTAGTAGGTGATGTAAGGATTGATACATAAAATAACTTTTTATTTGATTGATAATCATATAAAGCAGAAGAAATTTTAGCTATTTGCATCAAGCTCAAACTTCCTTCTTGCATGTGTGCCCCTCCCGAAGCACATATTATAATAAGAGGTAGAAATTTATTGGTAGCATACTCGACCAAACGGGTAATTTTCTCCCCAACTACGGATCCTATACTACCCCCCATAAACTGAAAATCTATAACCCCAATTGCTATGGGAATACCATTTAGTTGACCGATACTTATTTGAACAGCCTCAGTTAACCCTATTTTTATTTGATAAGAATCGATACGATCTTTATAAGGCTCCTCATCCTTTAATAATTTAAATGTGCAACAAATTTACAAAACAATTTATTTTTGTACCTGTTCCTTCCTCTTCCTCTCAACCAAACAAAAGGGGGACTAGTTTCATTTTCCTATATATATTCCATTTCTACTTATGTTCCTCTCATTTTTTTTTTTCATGCATTAAACCAAATATGCCATTAATAAATTTTTTTTTATATATATATAGTACATGGAGAGAGTGTCATTACCTTTTAGGTAAAACTATTGTTAGTGATATTAACCCTCTCAAATCCACTCTCTTTCAACCGTTGTTTAGAGTTAAATTATTTCTTAATCACACATAGCGAAAGTATCATCATCACATCAATCAACAAGTAATATTTTACATGATTCACCCAACTCTAGAACTATATCCATGAAGAGAGAGATTTCACTATTATGAATCAAGGAAGAAAATATACAATTCACTCATTATATTTTTTGAGGTTACATCTCTACACTCGGGAATTACATATACATTTTCATCTCTTCACAATACTCACCCTTAAACCTCTTACATCTTTCCCCTCTTTCCACCTTGATTTTTCACATTCATCTCTATTTATAAAGTTTTCAAACCTAATTCCTTATTGGATAAGAATTCCACAACTTGTCTATAAGAAGTTATCATATCAATCTTGCTTCACAACTTCTCAAACAGAATATGAAACTGTTTCCCGCATATGATTATGGACTGGTCCAAATAAGTAAACCTTCAATCTTCACTTTTCACTCCAGTTGGACCAGTCCACTTAGGGCAATTCCTTAATTATAAGTTTTACCTAGTTGAACTGGTCCATCTTCTCCAGAACACTACATACACACCGAATTCGAGTCACAAAAACCTAACAATCTCTACCTTGGCTCGAAATTTATCTTCATGTGCTTGTCCATAGCTTCACCTCGACCGAAGAACTCTCCACCTCGAATTAGATTTCATTCATCATCCTTATTGGTGCTCAATTGTTCACGCATGGCAACCCACCAATCAATTAACTCATCCTTATCAATTATTTTTATAACTCAAAGCAACAACACTATT